CGACGCTCTCCATCATGTGCTCACTGAGCTTGTCCACGAAGTTTCCAGAATCTTCCGACATGGTCTCGTTTTCTTCGGACTCAAACTCACCGCCCAGATCGATGGTCTCCTCCTGGTAAAGACGCTGCCCCTTTTCCTCCAGAGGCACCTGCCGGGCGATGCCTTCGGCTTCCCTCTGGGCCGGCGGGGACTCCGCGGCCACACTCTCGCGGCCACCTCCAGCTGGCTCCATAGTGCTGAAACAGACATTTTATCGGCTTTCCTCCCAGATACTGTGAAGCCAACTTCACCTTATTTTTCAGCTGAAGACATCTTTACTAGTCATGTATTCGAATGGTCCAAAATCAAAAACTTCCATTTCTCCCACCTTGATTTTGAATTTTACTTCTGAAATACACACAACATAAACTGGCCCTCTTAGCATTTTCTAAGGGGACACTGCAGCAGTGCCAAGTACATCCACACTCGTGCCATTGATCTCCAGAACTGCTTTCATCTGGCAAACGGAACTTCTATACCCATTAAACGACTTTCCACTGCCGTCTCCCCACAGCCCTGGGCAGCCCCAGTTCAACCTCTGGTCTCTAAGCATGTGACTACCTTCGGGGCCTCATGTAGTGCAGCACTGTAATACCTGTCTTTCTGTCACTGGCTTAGGCTCATCCATGTTGTAGCCTGTGTTAGGACCCTTCCTCGTATGGATAAAGACTATTTCCCTGGATGGACAGGCCACACTTTGGTTACCTATGTACCTGCTGATGGGTACTGGGACTGCTTCGACCTCTCAGCGGCAGTGAGCTCTGCTGTCATGGATGTACAAGTGCCTTTCCAAGTCCAGGCTCTCAATTTTGTTGCTGTTGTTACTGAACACATGTGCTCGCCAGAGAGTGAGAGAGAGGAGGGGAAGTGAGCAATCACCCTCGGGGGGTGGGGCACACCGCAATCCCTTCTCCATTCTCCTCTTGCAATCTCTCCTCCATTCTCCTCTCGCACGCACGTACATGCACCTGGCGTGATTTTCAAGCTGTCAGGTCCAGGAGCCAACAATGGAGTCAGCCAAGTGGGATCCAGCTGCCTTAACCTCCACACCATCTGGTGGCCCTCACTTCTCTTTGGTATATACCCAGAAGGGGAACTGCTGGATCATAAGGTAATTCTATTATTTTTTGGAGCCACAAGACTACTTTTAATAGCAGCTAACCCATTTTTCATCTTACCAAAGGCACTGCAAGTGTCCCACTATCGGACACCCTTACCAGCACTTGCTACTTTGTTTCAATCCATTTTTTACTTTTCCTACTAGCTATTCTAATAGGTGTGAAGTCACCAGCCCCTTAAACACTATTCTTTTAAGACTTAGTTGAAGTCTCTCCTCTGCCATGAAGACCTCCCAAGACAACCCAAACTGGGGTGAGGCGACAAATCTTCTTGTCCCCTCCCCCAGAGTTTACAGTATCGTGTGTTTAATTCTGGGAATTTGGGTCAGAGGGAATGACATGAGCGAAAGTTAATCGGTAAGAAAACAAACGTGCTCCCTGAGCGCTGAGGCTGAGGGTGACCAATAAGCCAGGCTGGGGCTACCGGCCTTACTACCTGCTGCTTGGGCGTCCTCCTCTTCGCACCTCCCTCGAGTGCTGCCCGCACGTCTTCACCTTGCTGACCGCGAAACCGGCCCAGGCCGGCCCTGCATCACAGTGTGCCCCAAATCTCACAGCAGAGGGCTCCACTGGAGGCGGCTCTGCGGGGAGGCCTGCGGGGAGCAGGTGCCGGGTCGCAGCGGCGACCCCCGAGCTCGGCCCAGCCCTCTAGGAAGGCAGCAGGAGACCTCGGGCGAGGGCGGTGGGCACCACCCGAGGCGGTCCTGCACCGTCCGATCCCCCGACTGCGGGCCGATCCTCACCTGCCTCCGCCCACTGGGACAGTAGGAAGGGGTAGCGGCGGCCGCGGGCAGGCTCGGGAAGAAGGCGACCGGAGCCCGGAAGCAGGGAGAAGACCCAGGCTCCGTGCACCTTGTGCGCCTGCGCGTGCCGGCCGGCCTGCTTCCGCGCATGCCCAGTGCAGGCCCTGGCTGTCCCAGCCCCAGTCGGAAAAGCGCCGCACTTCCGGTTCGTCCGCGGTGGGCGGGGCTTGACCCAGGTGGAGCGACGTGGGGGGCCCAGGCCCTCGGAGCAGGGGCGGCCCTTGGAGCGAGGGCAGGCAGGCCTTGTGCCCCGGAATGCGGAGAGGAGCGCCCCGGTCTAGCCTGATCCCGACGCCCAGAGACCGCAGTTCACCAGTGGCAGGAGGGGCGGGTGGAAGGAGATGCTCAGGTTGTGTAATGGCCACTCACCCTAGAAATGAGTTCGGCTAGGCATTGTCTGCTGATCTGTATTCTCCACGCTCCGCCCGTGCGCCTGAGCATTTGCGCGATAGTGACCACAATAATAGCCGTAGCTGGATGGAGTGTGAAGACCCTGCACCCTCAGCTCTGCAGCCTCTGGGAGGCAGAGCAGTTAGATAGCACATACAACTGTCGCAAGGCCTGCGGGCTGCGGGCCTGCACCGAAGGCACTTTGTGAGGGCGTCTGCCCAGACACTGCGTGTCCTGCCTGGGACTGAGGCCGTCCTCGTCATCACTGTAGCTGTCGGACAGTTGCCCCTCGTTTGTCTTTGTCTTCCCAACCCTCCCTGAATGCGGCCGTTTCTTACTTTGGCAGGTGTATTCGTCATGACAACGCTTACTCCTGAACAAGCGTTCTCCTTACAGAGGGTCTCTCTGCCTGTTATTTAGATGTTGACAGGGTTCTGTGTAAGGTCGTCTCTGTCTTTGGAGGACACTGCCCACTGCTGGGGCAGGCACTTCAGGGGGGCTGCATAAGAGGGACAACCTCCGCACACGAGCCTTCACTGGAGGCCTCTGGAGACCCCGTAGCCAACCCCCACGGGCACAAACGCTGGCCCAGTACGGTCAGTGGTACGGTGCCAGCTTTCGTGCACTATTGGCCCAAGGTTGGGGGCGTGGGAAAGCATTAGGCGGGGGCCTCGTTTTGAGACTTGTAGGCTGCGGCCCATGGGCCTCCTGGCTTCCCACCTGACCCCCTGCGGGAATGAGACCGCACGTTATCACCACGGCTGGAGCGAGGACCAGGGGCAGAGCCCGCAAAACCCTTGTGCAGGGCGCAGAAGCCGAGGTCGAGCAACAGCACTACCGACGACAGTGCAGGACCTACTCCGGAGGAAATGTGCATCTGCCCTCTGCCGCAGCTCCGCCCACCTTCGCCTCAGGTGCCGCAGGCCCGCCCCGCCCCAC